GGGGGGGGATGCATTACAGCTCGCTGTGAGGGTCGCTGGCCCTGACAGAGCCCGAGGGACTGGGGGGTCCCAACTGACAAAGGGGGTCTAAACCAGCCCGGAAAAGCAAAGCCACGAGTCCCACCACAAAGGAGAGGGTAAAATCAAGGGCAAACTCTTAGCTCGTGGTATTTGTCCGGGCTCCGCTTAGGCCAGCTGAGCTCAGTGGCTTCGTTCCAGCCAAATTCGGATATGCCTCCTAATTTTGCACCGTTGCCCCCCCTCCATGGGCCTGCCCTGCCCTTTCCAGCTGCCTGCTATATTTGGCACCTATCTCACAGTAACTCTGAGGAGAACAGGGCGTGAGACACCGCATCTGCCACGCTTGGGTGACTCGCGGCCCAGCGCACCCCAGGGAGGGGATCACCGCATCTCCCAGCACTCCCACCACCTGCGTGCTACATAAAAACATCCAAAAAACAGGAAGCAAGTTGTGATCCCACGGAGCAAATTTATTACTTCTCATTTTACAGCACCCAGGGGTGTGATAAGGGCTTTGCAGAATACACATTAAAAACAGATCCCGAACAGTTTACAGTGCTAGGCTCGCATCGTGCGGTCTTATGCGCATACTTAACTCTAAGCCCCTGAAGTGGTCCCGTTGAGTTTAATGAGACCACTGGGTACCTGAAGTTATGCACATGCCTCCAGCCCTGCTCCTGCAAGCAGTTCCCTGTCAGCAGCCTTTACTCCAGCAAAAAAACCACATTCACCTCAGTACAACGGGCGCTTCACTATTTTTGTGTGGAAAAAAAGTGTCTAATTGTTATGAAGCACATACAAATGAGACGTACCTAGGCCTGTTCTGGTCAGCTGCCTCTGCTCTTTCTCCCAAGCCCTCAGGAGGCATCTCGGACTACTTTTATCCCTGTGCACCAGCATATCACTAGCGCCTTGGGCACATTTTCCAGCTTCAAGTGCAGCCTCCAGTGGTGCCGTCTCCCAGACCAGACCGGACCTGTGGTGCCCACCCTTCCTAACCCGGGCACTGTAGCCATTGTAGCCTACAATGAGGGCTCAAGGGATCTGAGGAAGGCCATTATCTTCCCCCCAGTTTTTGCCCTGCATGGAAGGGGTTCAAAACACTTAAATAATGGTGATGAGCCAGATAAGAGCCCTAGCATATATATGGGCACTCCCATGGTTAAAAACAACCTCTTTGTCAAGTTTTAGAGCTGTACCAACTGGGGAGAGTGACCAGCGGGTGATGGCAAAGATCTTTAAGGGCCCATGTGATTGTCTGGACACCAGCTTGAGACCACAAATACAGGGCATGTTTAATTTTTACTCAATAATTTCTTGCTTTAAGTGCTGACCAATAAAGTATCCAGAGAGAAAGTTACAGAAAACCTATCTTCTCATTCCTTAAGGTACAATTCACTCTCATGCAGCAAGAGAAAGTTCAGGCATACATTGCATCCTTTGAGAGTACAAAAGCCCCTGCAGTTCTTTCTGTTTTGTAAGTTAACATTGTGCTATTACAATATTTTGGCAAAATTAAAGGGTGGGGGGAAGAGAGAAAATGAGAGAAAAAGAGAAGAAAATAAAGTGGTAGCCTTACTTAGGCTGAAGAGGTACACAGAAAAATATGCACTGTGTAAGTTGCCCATTCCATTTGAGGTCATTACACATTTTTGCACAATTAAATATTTCTCAAGAAAGTCATCTGCATTTTACTGGTACGGGCCAAATGAGACAGTTTACAAATGCAGGTTCAACCTTCAATGGATCAAAAGTTTCCCAAACCCATACAACAAACACTAATAACAGCAAAACACACGAATGTCGATCAACAGCAGGAGAGTTGATGTTTCCTTTCATAAAATTCACACTGCACTGTTAATTACATTTAACTTTTAGGCGTTGTAGAAAAAGCATTTTATCCAACCCCTGAAGAAAAACTAAAAGCATTCAGGTACTAGAACCGACTATGAAACTAATCAGAAAATCCTTAAACTTCAGAACATACAAATTGGTTGACAAGCTACACACGTAGCCCAAAAAAGCACATAAAACTTCCCTGACCTAAGTACAGCATCTAAAATGTAAAGTCTTATAAGCAAATATCTTTTAATAATTGGAAGGAAAGACACACACACATACATCCTTTCTCCTCCAACTTTGATGTCCTATATATTTATAATGAAACCGCTTAAATTTATAGCGGAAATAGAAAAAGTATTGCAACCTATTCAAAACAAAAGGAGGCTGGATTGTCCGAGACAAGCAGAGAGAGCCCAGGGCAAAAGAAAGTAGAAATATACTTCAAAAAAACACAACAAAAGGAATACCTGGAGTCATTTTGAGAAGCATCACAGCGGTTCAAACAAACAATGCTCTTCTACATAAGAGATGAACAGCTTATGTCAGTAAACGCCATCAAGTATGTGTTGGTCTTTTATAGTTTAACTGTCTGCTAGCCATCTAAAGGCGATACAGCTGTTGCTGCATGGGTTGCACGGCCTTCAGTTTGAAGTGCGTATTCTGTCTGAGGAGAAGCATCAAGAAGGCCAGCTATATTATTCATTTAAACACCTGCCACATTGAACGAGACAGCAGCAGTGTACGCTGCAGAAAATTCTCTCTAGTGCCCTCTCTCGTATCAGGTATGAGATTCCCTGGAGAGTATATTCATTAAGAAAACTGTCAGAGCCTAATCCCATCTTTTTACAAATAAAGAAGTACCCTGGAAAGACTCAACCGAGTTCAAAATCTGGTTTTGATTTCAGCCTGGTACTGTTAACTTCAATATTTAGCTGAACAATTGAAAGTTTGAATTAGCATTTGCTCATTTGAACATTGCTAGCATTCTTTTTTATACAGGTCTTCTGTTTACCTCTACTCTAAGTCTTATGACATTTTATACTCCATTCAAAATTTTAGCATACATGAGGAGACTACTGTAATTATGTGTCATGAAATAATGGTGACATTTCATTGAATATACGGGGCAATACTGAAGCAAAGTAAAAGCAACTGTTTTAAGTAGAAAATCATTACATACAGCCTTGTTCTATTATAATAGTACCTGTACTGATTTTTCTAAGGTAACAGATACCTTAGGTACAAGGCACTATTAAAATTAGTTTTCTTCTTGGTATACTAATTGATTGTCAGGGTTTTTCTTTTCGGTTTAATAATTTTACTTGTTCAGTACTGAGGTAGAAATGTACCACTTAACTGATTTGCTTCAGAATAATTTAGATCATATACTCTATTTAAGCAAAAAGCTCTTACAAAGACCATTTGTTCCACACAGACATTAGCTCCAACAGCTGCAGGCTAGTTGGTATTTTTTTTGCCTGACAACAGATGAAAGTTGAACGCTCCGACTTGCACGGAATACATTCAGCATAAGGTCTTGTCTTCATTAAGTTAAAATCAACAAGAGCAATGCAGCTGCAGACAGGGATTTAGCACCGACATTATAAAACAGCTATAAATTCAATTACACTATTATTTCAAAGTAATGGTAGAGAAGCTACGCAAAAATCCTCCTAAAAACTGCAGCTAGCGCCGTGGTTGCCAGGTTCTACCTTTTTAAAGAAAAGAACAGTAGAATCCTATACACAGAGGTTCTGTAATTTTAGAATGATTTTCCTGTTATGCCATACAAAATTCAGGATACTCTCCTACATGTCAGATCAACTCCTCTATTCTCATTAAGAAGTGTGTGTGTATGGGGGGGGGTTCCATGTGACACTGGTAATTAGTAGTAATGAGTATTGTTTTGAGGAACTGCTCACCTACACTCAATAAGGATGGCCTAATCCAATACACATTCACTTTCCTTTCTCTGTACACCGCTCTCAAAGGGCATGACACAGACAGCAATTCCTACATAGGTGCTCTACAAAAACAACAGCATCATAGTAGACCTACTCCTGACAGTCTGGCAACCTATCACATTACCTCTCACCTTTCCCAGAAGCTACCTAGTGTCTTGCTCCTTAGCAGTGCTTAGTGCACAAGATTTTCTAGGTATAAAGAAAAATTGCAACTTTTTTTTTTTCTTAACGACTCCAAGAAATCCCTCATCATCTTAGAAGCAGTGACACAAATATTCCTGCTCCTTTTCACACATTACTATACTCTTCTTACTGGCTCAGAGGTGCCCTCAACACAGCATTAAGTCTGTGCAGCCCTTGTCCCAAGAAGCTGCTCTTACTCCTTTGGTATAAAGGAAAGTGCCCTCCTCTCCTCCCTAGGTCTCTTTTAGCCTCTAGAAAGGGGCCCTGTGGAACAATAACACAGCTGAACAAACTCTCCTTCCAATCATATTTGCAACTGTGTTATTAGTTTCATATAAGAGTCCACAAGCATCCTGGTCCAGGTTCTGGTGCACTATTTGGAGGCATTTATCACTATTTTACTGTTCCAAACTGCTCTGTCTGGTTGTAAAAGCAAGAGCATTTCAACTAGTCAGTAGGTGAAGTGATATCCAAATTACCCATTTAAGCAAATACAGTGCTATCGCAGCTATTACTTCAGACCTTCCTTACCTCTTTTTTATCTTTTCACAGACATAAACTCTACAGCCAGAAATGGGATCAGCCAAGAGGAAAATTGCTTCAGGTCTGTTCAGAGCCCTTCTACCATGGATTTTGCTTAGTACTATAGCAGATTCTACTGGAATTCTGATTTCTATCTTACTCAACCTAATTTGCATCTTATCCATCCTAATTATAAAGAGCCTCAGCAACAAATTTCAAACAGAAATATGTTGACTATGTCAGAACTCTACACAAGCAACAGTGTGATTTACATGTTACTTCTAGAGGAATACTTTGGGTAGCGTGGATAACTTTTGAGCGTTTGCTATACGCCACGAGAAAATTTTATTGTTCAATGCATTTTCAACAGTGGCCCAGACAAAGGCTTCTGTAACATGGTTTTTCTCCTAGAATTACCCAGTAATAATAATATGCTGTGTGGTAAACTGCAGTCTTCCAAGTGTGCTTGAAAGGCCTACTCAGCCTTTGACAAAGTTTCCCCACCCTTATTTTATTGCTATAGAACACTGTTTTCTCAAAACTAAATGTGGACTAGAACTTACTATTAGCGTGCAGACTGAGGCTATTTCTGTAAGCCTAGTCTATGATTCAACTCAGGAAGGCTACCTGGCCTTCTAAAGTAGTCAAACGATACCAGCTTAGTACTTTTGCATGTAATATTAAAGGACTAAATGTGAACAGCCTTTAATAACAACCACTGTGCACGAAAAGAGTTTTTAAGGCAACAAAATACATCTAATTTTATCAATATGACCAAAATAAACTTTGAACTCCTGAGAGAAAATCCTAAGAGTATTTTGAGATATCAAGATTCCCAGTCTTCCCACTGAAAATATTTTTCTATGTCAAAACGTAGATAGTACTAGGAAAAAACAGTAACATTTGTTGACATTCTTAATGTTGTGTCTTGTTTTTTATCATAACATCAAAAAAAATCATAAATGCTTTGTTAACTACATATCTGCTACAGTAGCTGTCAGATATGCACACTGGAAAAGGTTCTCTATGTTAAATTTTGGTATTTGAAACAGACCTAACTTCTGTCATTCACACCATTTTCTGTATTGAACACTTGTGATCCTCATTGACGGAACATTATAAAATAAATAAATAGGAAGGCTGTTTAGTCCAGCAGAGCTCTGCAAAAACTAGGCACAGACCAATTTCTAACCTTCATACATTTTAGAAAGTTATCCACATATTTGGTTACTGTATTAGTGCAAAAACAATATATACCAATGCTAAAGCACTGTATGAAACTGTGACCTCTTTACAGTGAGTAGAGTCTCAGGACTGACTTGACTGGCACCAAGATTTGATGGCAGTCCTGACACCGTTTGGCAACAAAGCCACCTAACTTTTGAACGTGTTCAAACTTACGTCTTTAGCTGGACAGAAGAAATCCAACTAGAAACTATGAAAGCTACCATACTTAAGAGAGCCAATCCTAGCCAATTATGCGAGGAGATTTACAGTCAAGGACAAACTGAACAAAGCAGCTTGAAAGTTCTACCCTCCCATAATATTCTTCGTATTATGATTTTAATTTTGCCAATACCTAATAATAAAACAAACTCAGATGGAGGGAAAGTGGATTCTAGACTCTTACTATAACAACAACTTAGGATTGATACATATATAAAAAATTAATAGATATCTATCTTGAAAGCTGAACCATAAGGCTAGTGAATTACTCCAATCTCATTAAAATATATTTGTAAACTGGAATATATGCTGAATGACAAATTTTAAAGTGAAATTAGCACTAACAGAAGGCAGTAAAGGAACATGCCTCAGACATAAAAGCAAACAAGTTAGTATCATGGGATCACATCTAGACACCACTTTTTGCAACTGCTACAAAAAGATCCAAATGGCAAGACTCAAATCAACCGCTTGGCCGAGACGATTAAAACACTCAAAACTGTCTCAAAGTTGAGAATCCAGAAAATCTCAAAGTTGCACTTGAATTTTACTATTTACTGTGCTAGCAGCTGGACTTAACTTTTCCAATAAGCAATTCAAATTTGTAGGAGCCTTTTCAATATAGATGATTTTACAATAGTAAAATATATTTTATCAGAACATTTTCCTTCCCGTATAATGATTATTTTTGTATCAAATCCTTCGTGATGCATAACAAATTTTTCTGGGTCATTCCTTCACAGAAGTCGATGATGGAGAAAGACCGTTCCCGCTTAATTTCTACTCAAGCCATATTTATTATACCTAGTCATCCCAGCACTTGTGAGACTTGCAGTTGAACATGTGAAGGCTGTGCAGGTCAATGACAATTATAATCCTGTGAAACGTATCCACGAACCAATTTCCAGCACGCCTATGTAACATTTTAAGTAACAACTAATCAGTAAAAGCTGCAAGTTAAAATAGCTAAAATCCTATGAACATTCCCCCATCTTTAATAAAAAGCAGAGGTACAATGCACCTTTAGAGCATAGTTCTTTAATGCAGTTTCCTGTGAAGTCTGAGGTAATCACTCAGATGTATTTTTTTTTTTTTGAAGAAAAAAATTTAAACTGTATCGAGCTATATTATATTCTCGATTTTAATTACAGAGCTCAATTTCATATCCTGATGTAAAACATTTCTGTATTATAGAAATCTGATTCCTGCTCCAAACTGGACACCGTCGCATATCCTGAAAAGAAGCAAAAAACAGACAATGTTAGTAATACACAAGGTACTGATAAAACTGAAGCCAATTCTCCCAATCCCCAAGCTCAAGTTTTTCAATCTTTGGAAGATCACAATTCAAATTTTAGCTGACAAAAGCTTTGTGAAATAACTGCTTTGCCAATCTGTTATCTATATGGAGTAAGCAGTTACATTTGCAAAATAAAGCCCCTAACTTTCAAATTGCTATTATTTATTCACATTTCACGTGAATGACAAGCAGAAACAGACTCTGACTCTTGCATAAAATATAGAGTATCTCCCACAGTATTCACAGTATTTCACAGGCAAGAACAGGCCCCCTGAAGCTTTTCTACTACATGCTATTTGCTTGGTGTAGGGTTGCTAACTGTTTAATGTGCACTCCCTTCCTCTTTATCTATACTTAAACTTTCATTAATTTTTCAAGCAAAAACATTAAACTTGTTATTTATCCAATTATTTGTTTTTAGAAGGCTTAGGAAAATCCCATGAGCTGTCCGAGTGTCCATTTCCCCTAAAGAAATAAAACTTGCTGCACAGCTATTCATATATTTCAACAGCTGATCTCAAGTTCAATGAACTTTGAAACCCGAGATATAAACAGTCTTAAACTAAGAAGTATGGCGAAACCAACATAGCCAGCCAAGTGCTGAAAAATCTCCAAAGAATAAACAGGCATGGCATACTCAAAATTAAGAGACAGTGGATTCTCTCTGCCAAAACCAAACAGAAGTACAGTAACCTTTAAAATTAGTTACTATTAAAGAAACAGCTACAAAAAAACAAACCTGTCACCAGACTGTACTCCCATGGGGAAACAATAGTTAAGTTCTAATCTAGCAATGTTTCCAAGGCGGAGTACTACTCCGGCACCATAAGACCATCGAATATACTCTGCCAACTTCTGCAGATGAGCTCTGGGACCATCACCTGAAAACAGAAGAGCAAGAGAACAAGAATCAAAGTAAGCAGTCAAGGTGTTCAAAGGCTAACTAGATTTTCAGAGTTACAAGACATTACTTAAAAGCGTCTACAGCAAAGGTTCAAAACAACTCCCATAAATACCAAGTATCTCAGATTAAAACTACACACTTTTAAGATTCTGGTTGAATCTTCATTTCCCACTATGGGGTACCTATGTGCATGATTCTGGAAATGGATACTGAACATAGAATTAAAAATCTTCAGCAAGTCACTACGAATTTCAAAGCAGATCCATCTGCTTTTCAATTGTGCTTAAAGCGTATCCCTTCCATATAGATGCAGTCTCCTGTCCATCAGGAAAGGCAGACATCAAATATCACTATATCCCAAAACTGCTTAAATTGATACTGAAAAATAGAATATTAATATACTCAAACGTATCTTGGAAAAAAGCTGGGGAAAGGAAGAAGAGCCCATAAGCTACCACACCTTTATCTACGTTATGTCACCGCTTTTTATTTAATCCATCCCACAAAACCTACAAATCCCACTAACACATCATTTTCGGACCGCTCTGCAGAGCGGTCCAAGATAGCAGGCATTAACCAGCGACCACACTGGTCCGTGAACAACGCATTAGGGATACAACAATTACCATTCTAGCTGTCTTTTCTACATGTTGTGCTAGAATTTACGTAGCGAGCTAATAAAATTACTGCTGTAACTGGCAATCTGTCAAAGAGGTAGGTTAACAGCAAGAGCCTTTTAACAGCCGCTGAAATATACGCGGTAAACAAACTGATTTTGAGGAAAAGGACGTGTAACACCTCTCTTCTGCTATTTGCTTTTTTATATTTGGATAAGCAGGTTTTCTTGCACACAGTTCTATTGAGTCTTACCATAGTTAAGATTGCAGAGGTTTCCAGCATTGAGGAAAAAATGCGTTCGGAAAAGGTCTCCAAACCCTCCTCGGCCTGGCCGGAAAGGGAGAGGGGTGTATAGATGCAAACCTCCAGCCCAGTAGGCTTCTCCTCCCAAGTAATCACCTGTTTCGGGAAAGTGTTGTAAGCAAAGCATTTACTCTGACATATATTAACAGACTCACTCGTTAAAGATGCAAGAATACATCCTTAAGCTGTTTTACACTGCGCTGCCACCCTACTGCAACACTTGCTATTTGCCTATAGCTCGCTCCAACCTCACCACTAATCAAGTAGAAATCAGCACTTACACAATTCTTTACACCTTCTGAGTGACTTGCCCTTTTTTCTGGATGCCTTCACCTAAACAATCTGGGGCATGCACCTCTTGGTGGTTCATCAGAGACTACCTCCTGAACACCTTTGAAACATTTGCCCTAGTTTTAAAGAAGGGAAATTGATAATAGTTAAGCAATTAGTCTATGGTTACTTGCAAGTCAGCAGCAGAATAAGGAAAAGAACTAAAGAACCTCCTGGCTGTCAAGCTGCCTTCATAGGTCAGATTACCTTTTCCCTAAACTATCAGAACACACACTGTATCAAATAGAGATTTGATATGACTGTTGCTATAACCATCTTTTGGGAGCTTTTTAAGGTTGAAGGTTGTTTACTAAAAGTCAACATGGCACGCTAGAAGTTTGAAACCTGGTCGCTGCTGTCAAAGATCATAAATTAACCTGAAGATGAAAAGGTGGATTTAGAAGCTCTCAGTCTTAAAAAAAAAGTAAAAGAAATAGAGCTATCAGAACAGAAGGAGCTCTGGCTCATCTTCAACTTAATTTAATAAGAGTCATGCACTTGTGAAATTCCCTTTGAAAAGGCATTCAAAATCTGTATGTATTTTGGTACACATGAAAGGTCTGAGATTAATACAAAACAAAGATACAACCACCTATGCAAGCCTGAACAAATGCTTGGTTTATAAAAGTAGCTTAAGGCCTAACTAGGAATTAATGGGCTTTATATTATTAGTTCACAATGGAATAACAACAGATCAAAGACAAATAACACTTCTAAGATTCAAAGTGCAGAAAGAGGACAATTATTTTAAAGCTACAGAAAGCATAAGGACAGATTTTGAGTCTTTGATGCAAACTAACGTTCACAATATTGTCAGCAGAGCAGGATTTAAAAGTTTCAGACCTTCACTCTGGGGTCCAATGCTGTACATACTGAATCCACGCACACTTGTTGGTCCACCAAGGTAAAACCTAGAGAATATAGTCAAATTTAAATTAATGCTTCACTTGAAAGGAAGTATTTGAAAACATCTAGCAATACTTTAATATTGTTTTTCAGAATTACAGGTATCTTCATTACAGGTTTAGTAAAGGGTAAGAATGTTTATACAAATCTAAATCTTGATGCATTTTGGATAAATTTCAAAATAAAGTATTAAAAAACAAAATTGGTACATCTCACTTACAAAGATCAAATTACAAGGTTTCTCAGTCCCTTTGTGCCCCAACATTGAAGAATCAGAACCCTGAATTTGAATCTCAAGCTGTTACAACAGTTTTCAAAGAAATACTATAGTTAAGATGCTATCACAGGTGAAATTAACACAATTAACACCTGGTATTAATTGTGAATAAATTCAAGTCTGAACATTTTCAGCTAGTGATCTTTAATGACAAGTGTTAGAGTACCAAATCTGCTAAAAAGCCAAAGATACAAGATAGCTTTACTTCCAAAAATACCTCCTGTCTCTGTAGCATTACCTATATCTGATGTGAAATTTTGCAGATACAATGGTAAATATTTGAAGGCAGTGCTACTACATAGCAAATCACAGATTCATACCACCCCAATACGAACATCAAAAGTATGCCTGAGTATTTACATGGAACTAAAGCTACATACTAGATGTTTATTTTATTCTCCTCGAAAACAGAACTGCTTCTCCTCCTTCTCTCTTCTACTATAGTTTCCTTTATACATTACCTGGGTGGACTGCAAACAATGAAGAAGCTGTTTTTACAGAGAGAGAGAGAGAACACAAAAACAACAAAAAAAGAGCTTAAGTAGGTTGCTTGCCTATCAGCTATACTAGATGGTTTGTCTCCAATAGGAACCAGCATTCCACCCCAAAGCGATGCTGAAAAAACCTTTGGAGAGAAAAAGAAAAAATTTTTTAGTAATACGTATTCCTGAAATTTCCTAAAAACAGTATTAGTAAAATTACATTGCTCAGTAAGAGGCAGAGGTCCCATTAGTCTGACAAAGCTGCTGATGACCACAGTCTATGTGTGGATATCACACCTTCAGTAACTGTATTTTCAGGGAACTCTTGATCATTGCTGCCCTCTTTCTACACTATGCAGTGCTGCATCCTTGAAAGAGGCAACACAGCACTTTTAAACCTAATGCTACTTTCGCGGTATCTAAAGGGAACAGCCATCCAGCTCTAACTTTCTCACCAGTTTTCGCGTCTTGAAATAAAACCAAATCTACTGACATAAGTTACTCCTGGCAATTTTAAATCATAGGAAGCTATGTCCAGCAAATAACTACCAAAAACGTAAACTGTACCTGCCTGTAAATTAGCCTTATACTTTAAAGAAACCATCTAACTTCTATAACCCAGAATATGGATATCAATAATGTAAATATCATTACTGTTCAGCTATAGGGTGATTTCAGGAGCAAACCATGATCATAAATAATACATACATGTAATCATTTGCTTGCTGCCTATGAAACAGAGGTACTGCTGTCAAATGGTGAGATCTATTGTTAATAGCCAGGCTAAAGATGTTGACTAATTTGTCTAGCATACTGCATGTTCCTACTGCCTTCTGTCCTGAAAGCCCCCAGATGCTTCCCCCGTCATGATCATACGGGAGCTCATCACGTGGTACACGCGTATCTGCTTACACGACAGTGCACGTGCAAAAGCCAGTTGCACACAAGTCTACACACGAACAACAGATCACAAAATTCTGTGCACCATGGGATGAGATATGCTTCACTTTCATTCAGCGTATAGCCATATTAACTGTCATGGGAGGGAGCAAAGTCCTCTTTGCATAGTCATTAAATCACTTCATAGGAGATCATGCTGTCTTTCTCAACTAAAGCTCAGGAAATTTATATTCATAAAGACAACTAGAAGTGCACTCATCAGGCAATGCCTTTTCTGCCTTTTCACATGAAAGGTGCAAAAATAATCACGTCCATCACATGAAAGGTGCAAAAATAATCACGTAATAAGAGGAGCATAGCAAGTGGCCTTAAAATGCCCTTGTATGGTTGGCCTCTTGGGCCTAACCCAAGATTGCACTAAGCCTTGTCATAATACAACCAAGCAACAGCAGACCAACAAATCCTTACAACATCAATCAGTTAATTGACACTTGAACTATGGAAGTAGCTTCAAGGTTTTCAATAGCACTGTTGGTATAACAGCAACGTTCTTCGGTCTCCTAAAATTCCTTCATTATTCCATTATCTCTTAGAAAACTATCAAGAGAAATCTTCTACTCATTTCTTTTTCGATACGCTGGGGCATAAATTATTGCAACCTCCAATTTTTAAATCTTCATAATATAAATTGGCGTTTAACTTCCCATTCAGCTATGAGACAAGAACATACTGCCTCATCATCTCCATGTGATAAAATACTTCTTTCTGGATTCAGACAGAAGTATTTTTGGGACACAGTGAAATTCTTATTAACAAGACAGAAAGACACCTATTTTCAACTTGTCAAAGCTGCCTGAAGTTTAAGGCCTTTATGTTCCCATAAAAGGCTGGAGCAAGCTTGGGAGCGAAGTTATCCAGTGTCGTCTCCTCTGAAGAAATCTCGTTGGCGTACACCAGAACTGCTCTGCCAGCCAAATCAAGATTTTGTAAATGAGAACGATACTGGAATTTGCTTCAAAACTGCACACGACTCCAAACTAAAATGCTAATACAGACCCACCATAAAATCTGCAACATGCTCAGTGGTCTCATATAAACCTCACACTATTATACATCTTCCTTAGTTGAACTTCAGTTGTTCGTTGTGCACAAATATGAAGAAGTTCAAATGTGGCAGTGCAAGCTTACTGTTGTAGCGAAGTCAGCTTTCCTGCTTTTTCCTCACCAATTTTACATATAAGAAGCTATTACCATATAATAAATGCTATGATTCCAAATTCAGGAACCATATATTTCTACTTTACAATGACAGAAGAAAAGATAACTAAATCCAAGAGGGCCAGAATATCTATAATTGGGAAAAGAAAGATAACAGAGGATGCAATAAGTTTTTCAAAAATATGCTATTAAGATCACAAGGAACAGACACGCCTAGCACTTCTTCTGAAAGGAAAACAGTTCCTACGGTTAGCTGCCAGACAAGTCCTTCTCTCCAAAACGTCTGCTTTTCAAGTGACCGTACATGGTAGGAACTTCAAGAAAAAGACTCTTCCAAAAACAAATCAAGACACCTACACCACCCAGCTTCCTGATTGTGATTTGTTCTTCTAAGCTATAGTGAAAAATCATCATAAGATGGAGATTTCATAATCCCATTTGTTAACTCAGATCAATTACTAAAACATCGTTTAAAGAAAATTACCGAATCCCATAGAAGTTGCTTGTTCAATTGAAATTCAAAATCCTCTTTTAGAAAGCTCACATCTCCACCTGTATAGCCAGCCAACTCCTGCAAAGACAGGAATTACAAAAGCTGTAACAGATATTAAATGTTTCTTCCCCCACAAAATTCAGCAAGTCTGCATCACCATTAGCAGTCTTTTCTATTAAGAAGCGCAGAAACATCAGTATGGAGAGACAATTGAGTTTCAGATCAATAAAAAAGCTCTCCAAAGAGCTCCAAAGAATATATTCTCCAAAGAATAAGGAGTAACATTTCTCTCCCCTAAATATTAAACCAAGCTATTGCTTTCTAAACCGTTTTGTAAACGAGGGCACAACGGAACAGAGCTGGAGTATTCAAGGACGCCATATCAAATCTCTTGCTATATTTATCTAGGACTCGAAGAACCTAAGACAACCAAATGCATTAAACCAATGTAAACAAAAAGTAACTAGTGACAATCAGTGTTAGGGCAGCATCTAACAACTGGTATGGCAACTAACACCTGAGTTGTAATCACTCTTCTCACTCAGAAAGGGAATAAGTTCACTGTTCCTTAGAGGAACAGAGCCCATGCAGCAGCACTTCTACCCCACCATGACGTTCCAGAGCAATCTACTTCTGAAGCACTGTAAAAGTTCATGCTTCCGAAGCATTAACCTGTATAGCAGAAAAGCCAGCTTTACAAAAAGCTCTAAACATAACACAAGTAGAAATCATTCTCTGTGCCAAAATGATACAAGCATATGGCTTTGAGAGCTATTTTTAACAGCCTTTCAATTTTAATTGCAAGACTTAGAAGCTTTGTGAGCAACAGGACAAAAGCCTAGTAACTTAACAGCGTAGTGAGACAAAACAGGAAACAAATATCTACTATCAAGTGTAGAGTGGATGCTGTCGGGGACGACATATTTCAGCTAACAATATCATGCTAATGGTCAGATAAACAGCACAATGACTGTTTGACTGATGGTATACAAATTAAAATATCTGTCTCTATAAAAAGGTTTTTATGATTTTTAAAAGACACACTGTAAAGATAAAGAGTAACTACTGGTTATCCTGATCAATTTAAGATTAATTTCTAAGTTTACAATTTCTTACATGAATATTAACCAGACAAAGTAAGATTTGCTCAAATACATAAAAAGATAACATCCAATAATAGTATTAGTGATTTAACACTACCTGATTAATTTTCAGCAAAGCACCTCGTCTTGGCAAGATAGAAGAGTTCCGGGAATCAATTACCATGGCATGCTGAGAAGAATCAAACAATTATTTTTAGGTTCTCATACCAGTTGAATATCACAGAGAAACACTATCATTTGCTATCAAAAACTGCACACGCAGTGGAAGATAACGACAGCTCCAGCTAAAGCTAGAGCAGCTGCACGGATTCGGGCACTTAGCTTTGACTTCAGAGGCCACATTGAACATCGTTATACGTTTTGTCCACGGTACACATCAGAAATATATCAGCAACGTCCCAGGGAAAATCACCAATTTTGTGACAGTAACCTGCAAATAGTTTAACTCCTAGAATTTGTGATGTTAAAAATTAAAGATGGCAAGCAACCAACTGCTACAGGAAATAATATTTAGAAAGAGCACAGCAACTCTGCAGGAGGAGGAACGCGACTGCCCCTTCTCTTCTACAAAACAAGACAATGCTGCAGAAAGAGACTGGAGAGGATAAGGGCGGCAGCCCTGCAGAAGAACGAACCAGCCTATGCACCGGTCAAAACGCAACAGTCCACTTTGAAAAAATATTCTATTTTTTGTCCTCCTGGATGAATGGCCAAACAAGGCAGAAGACACTTCAGTAAAACACACTACCTACTAACCAAAGCAGCTTTTTGTCTTACTTGCTATCATTCTTAAATTAGATTAGTCAAAATAACATATATACTGTTCAATATAGGAAAAAGCCTTACAGAGAGAGAAGATTTAAGAGAGTGTCCGCTTTCTTCTCGAACAGAAAAGGACGCTGTTCTAGCAAGGCAGCCAAGCTCTCTCCACACACCCTCCCACTTCAGTGTGTGGTTGGTCTTCCAGATTGGAAACTACAAATAAAGAATTCAGTAGAACTTGAACAAAATTTTGCTACAAAATAAACACTGTTGTGAAAACGTTTCTTTCTAAAATGTATTTATATATGAGTCTATACTTTTTCTTTCCAAATCCCTTTGATTGGAGACAAATCTTTTTTCATTTCAGACTAAAAGCTAACTGTCCTCCAGCCAAGAGGATTTCACTCTCTGAATAGGTGCACGCTACTTAATCTATCCCAAATATCTTGAACTAGGTTGATGCAGTGGGCCCGGCAACCAGCTGACTTTCTGAAAGGATGCTTCAGGTATTAATACTTTTGGGGGGGGGGAAAAGGCTGGCATTTATACCCACCCAAAACAAGACTGAATTCTAAGAAAAAGACTAAGAGGCATTACATCTGTCATCTTAGAATTGTTGACCTCTTTCAAATAGTAACAAATTTGTCTTGTGCACAAGTATTTCAATCATAAAAAAAATTAAGCATATATTTGCAAGAGCTAGCTGTGACGTGAATTAAATGTAAATGAAGCATGTATTCCACAAACTCTTGTGCTACACTTACATTAAATTCTGTGGATACTCCTCTATCTGTTTCACGAAGAGAGCTCCAAGGGAACTGTCCAGTTACTTTATACAGGTTAACTGAAAAACTGAAACACCACGTTATTGGTAGATTTGAAAGTGAAATGAAATAGACAGAACTTTAAATTAATACAAACACTTACAGAACCAGCTCTGCTACATTACGTTAAGACTAATACACCCTCAGTGAAGCAATAAATTAAATCACTCAATGGAAGAGACCTTACTAGTTTTTTATATACTGAACTGTCATACAGAGCAAAATACTGTAAGAAATAAATTAGAACAAAATAATAACAGCGAACTTAAAAGTTAGCTTATTATTATATTACTATTAATAATAGTAGCCTGCCTACATTTAAGATTTAACAAGCAGCTACTTCAAATAAATCTACATTAAATAAAAAATTGAGTAGTTTACAGATGTCGGTCTTTCAAGAAAAGTCCTCACTACTAACATTTTTATTTCCAATCCTATTGCTAAAGCTTAAGTTTCTGCTAATAAACCATTATTCAGCAAGTATCTGGTTTGACAATCAGCTCCCAAATTGCATCAAGAGTTCTGGTAAGAAATAAAAAGACATTCTTGTACTTGTAAAACACCACTCCGGGCTCAACACACATTGGCATAAGCAAGAATTATTTGCCTAAATGCCAAAGAAACTTTATTTTGCTATTTGTATCTACTTTTCAAAACATACATACGCTCTGAACTACTGCTATTCCTTCATTAAAAAGGAAATACTCAAAAACGCATTCCTTACTTTCTCTCAAAGTTTCCAGGCTGTGGCTTGAAGAACGATAGGCCATACGATGTTTCTTTTGTTCCATATGAGAACTGGAAGGTTACCTTTTCTGCACGTCCAAAGAGATTTGGAAACTTAAGCCCAAGTACCTAGGAAAAATTAAAAAACATTTCGTATCATGTGCTAACTTGTACCATAATCGTGTGCTGAAAATGAGCATATCTACACTAAGAATAAAATAAAAATAAAAAATAAAAATAAAAAAATAGTTGTAACCAAATATGCTTTTCATAAGCACTCTTTGCACCGGCAATGAAAGCCACTACAATAGCACATATTACAGTTAGCATCATCATCCAATTTTTAGTGCTGTTCAGTAGCTGCTAACTTAATCAGCGTTCTCGTCGCATCTTCATTACTGCTATTATTTCAAGTAAAATCTCCCAGTTGGTTTGGAAGCCTGGGAGCATCAGTCTTTGGCATGATAAAGCACTGCTCTGCAACTGCAGACTTTCCAACTGATCAGCGAGAAAACTGCCAGGCAGGCACAGTTCATCAGAACAGAAGCAAAAAGCCAATGGAAATTTATCAGCCCAGAGACGCTACCCAATACTTCCATTCTGAAGAGAGATACTTTTGCGATTAGTCCTGATGGCAATACAACATTTCATTACAATTTTTCAGAAACTACAGTTAAACTCTTCTGCCTGTTCAGACACAAATTCCCCGTTTGGCAGAAAGGACAGGGCGTGTTTCTCCCCATCACAGCTTTTACCAGAGCTGTTCTATTGTTCCATGTTCTTTTCTAAAGGAATGTTAAAAAGCTGTCAAATTTGTACAGCCAATCCCATGTACCAGATCCTGACTGCCTTTCTCTAACAGCTATTGGAAGCACATCAGTCATCCAACTGTATTTTTGCAGTGATGGCTACTACGCAATTATCCAACTCACCAGAAACCACTAATCCAAAAGCCTACTGATATGAAACGTTACATCAACAAATTTCAGATGAATTCAAGGTATTAGAATAAATGTGAAATCTATTTAATTCTTACAGAAATGTAATCTCTGCTGCCAAAACCAGCACAAGTACCAGTCATGCTTTTTTTTTTTAATCATTCAAAAAAGCTTTACTTCCCTGTCAGAAAGGAAAATCAAATAAAGGGGAAGTAGAGTACAAAACAGAGAAACTAAAGTGGTTTTAAGATTGTTATCAAATGCTCTAAAACCAACAAGTAGAGTCTTGCATCAGTTTCATTCCGGTCACAGTTCCCTGGACATTGCATGCAGCACCAGAGCTGCGCAAGCAGTGCTCGCCCACTGTCTTAATTCACGTTCGCCACACACCCACACAACACCATCATCCGAGCTGTGCGGTATCTGATCCAGGTTAAAAATACCCCTAAGAAAAGGATGAGTCCCTTGATCTGGCTTACCTACCCTTCCTAAGTACAGCTGCACTGTGCATGAGAAAGCAGAACGGGTGCAGGAATGAGCACGCGGAAGCAGGATCTACTTAAGCCAGCTCTTCTGCTGAGACACGTTAACAGAACCACAGTCTGGGTGTTACTTTTCGCGTCATTTGGTAACGCTTTTCACACAAGGTTTTAACCCAATGTATCGGTAATTGTCCTTGGCTATATAAACGTGAATCAAATGGAAGTAAACTCCACAATATATATGGCTCTGGAAAACCTAGTACCTTCCAGCCTAAAATAACTGATGGGCTAAAACAGTGAAAAATAAAAATGATTCTAAGCCAAACATATAGCATTCCCTTTGAGAAGAAAAATAACTTAACCAGGTCTGACGGACGTTAATGACAAACTGCTTACTAGTCTCCCATCTTTAAGTAGATAAAGCACCTTAAATATTATCCAAAAATAGTTGAATTTTAACAATTCTACAGATTAATGTATTGAGTGGGAAGTTTTCACATTTTTCCTTAGTTCAAAAAGGGGTTTTTCCAAACAAAAAAACTGACTAGTACAAAGGTCTCTTTGGAGGCAAAGGTCTGACAAAGCCTTAGAAAAGCTGGATGGAGAAAATAATTTTGCTTTCATCAAGCCCTCACTTATTTAATCACCAAATTCATTCCCAGGTTTGAAACATGAAAATGAGAACAATATCAAAAGGTGTTCATAAGTATTTGAAATCATCCATACCATACTGCCTTCATTGTTGCCAACCATAGTGTTATAGCTTCCAGTAAGTCTTCTCAATTCTGTTACTTCAAAAGTTACATCTAAACCATTCGGAAGGGCATCATCTCCTAAAAAAATTAATAAACGTTATCTCAACTGCTGGAACCGAGTAATAATAAAAGTCTATGTTACAAAGAAAGATGACTTGAGAAAAAGATGTTGTTTGGATACATACGCAGAACATCAGAGCATGACTGACTTTAACTATCAACACATCAGTTTAATTATGATTAACATTAACTAGTTAACATTAACTAGTTAATGATTAACTAGTAACATTTGTTTGTTACCTGCCTACTAAAAGCAAAGGTTTACACAAATTTTAACGTTAAAAGAAATAAAAATTGAAGTGGTCCAGAGAGGGCAAGAAAAACGCTGTCAGCAGAACAGAGCTCCCAACACCATGCAGGAAAGCGCAGGGCAACAAGCTGCCTGGTCCCCTCAGAGCGTCAGTTAACACAGTCCTTCCGAAGCACAGCAGGCACAACCACTTAATTCTACTTGAGGCAACTGGGACAACATCCCATCACCAGCATCCCACAGAGCTGCGCTGGATCTCTTTCTCCAACTGAAAGGAACACTAAGTTTGAAAATGCTGACTGAGGCTTACTATGCAACCTGAGCACACTCAACCGTTCCACATGTCTTATAGCCTTTTTTTTTAAATCATAGGCACTGATACAATCACTAGTATTTCCATTAAGCACAATACGCTGATACGATGTCAGTTATGTGATGTGTAACACATGGAAGTACAGGAGATATTTTCAAGCTTTTCCTCAAGGCTTTGTCCTTCTTCTGAAAATTTGGATTAAGGGACACGTAACGTAATTATTCACTCATTTTTGCCTGTAGACAAGTAATATTTACAAGTAGATCTAAATTATATAAAGATATACAAGAGAGATGTGTAAGTTATTTACATAGAAAGATGTCCAACTACAACATAGGGAAAATGGGAGGAGGGGAGGAAAAGGTGAGAATTAATGTGGCAATACACACCTTGACAGGTATCAATCAGAACCTCTACCTGTCTAAAGATTCCTAGACGCAGCAACTTTTCACGAGCTTCATGCGATTTTCTCATTACCTACACAGTGAGATAACAAGTTTAGTGTTTCAGCTTACTGAAAAATAATTAGGATAAAATAGTTAACATGCAGCTAAGTCATATGACATGCACAGATTTTGTATGCAAAGACATATTTGTGTGTCTTCAAAACAGATCACAAGCACATTAACACTTAAATCAATAAAGAAATAAATTAAACCCACAGAATCCACCTCAATTTCTGCTTTCTGTTTGCGTGCACCATTAACTGTTCTAATACACCTATTATTCAAACAGGTTTACAGTACTTAAATCTCATATACATATTTACTGGGCCCATACTTTTGGGGGAAAAAAAAAATCCTATTCTGCTGCAACAAACTAATTTACAGGTAAGGTGCCTGTAAAGTATGAATAACAGTTCATACATTATGAATGACAAACACGCAGAAATAAGAGGCAGCTGCGTACACATTTCACATACTCTCGCACATATCCTCTTTTTTTGCTCCAACTAGAGATAAAACCAGTGAATTACACAATAAATTGAGTGATTACAGAAAGCATGAGAATACACATATACTCCGAAAAAAGATGCAAAACAAAAATTTGGTCTGCATGGGACAGTTGACCCGCACAAACAAAGCAATACGGTTATTGTGGTCAATGTCCCAAAACAGACAAGCACTAGTTGCAGTAAAGGCAGCAACAATCAAAGCTATCCAAATTACCTGTCAGTCGTACTCCAGAGGAATCGCTACCTAACCACGCAAGAACACAATGGCCTAACTTACACTTTGATCTATTGTTAGAGACTGTCACTGGCCCTCTGGGCTGAGCTCTGACAACTTTTCTTAAACAAATTAATTGAAACTGAGCATCACCTGCTCTAGTCAGTACTTTTCAAATGGCAACGGTGAAGCTGGAAAAAAAAAAAAAAATCTGAGCATACCGCTTGCCAACTCTCAGTGTCTTTAAGCTGAGTAACTCAGAAGAAATAGTATCTGCCAGTATTTTTATTTAACTTTGACTTCCATATCACAAGCTTAGAATTATCATAAAACTTGGCAAGCTTGCCTCACATTAAAGGAGGGTAGCCCAAAGCAGGAACAAAGAGAAAATCATAATCTGAATTTTTAAGATAGTCGGTCTATCTAAGATATTCACTACAGCACTTACATCAATGAGATTTTTAGCCTTGAAAACATCACAGATTTCATACATGATAATGTCATCTTTGGTCCTTCCAAGTCCATCGAAGTGCACATGCTGAACCACCACCTAAACATAACAGATGTTTAAATATAAATATTGAATTGGTATCTAATAACAAGGACCAAAATAACCTGCACAGAAAAAAAACTGCTGTCCCAGTGAAGGTAAAGACACTAAGGATTCATATTTTAGTTACTACCAACCTGTATTATCAGAAACCAGTGCTATCTGTAATTCTGGAAAACTGTTTCTTTAACATAAGAAGTACTGAAAAAAGATATTCTCATTCCAAATCTAAAACTGATTATGGCAGAAGAGACTGTAACAGACTGTTGCTGTCAGGATTTTAGTCACAGAGTTGTTTGGACAAAGTCACTGCTAAAATCACATTTACATCTTAAGACACATAAAGCAACACATGTAATTAGTTGTAGTTAGTCACTTCTCACCCCAGCTACACACACACCAAATAAAAAGCCATAAATATTTAAACTCTGTTAAAATTGTTACTACCGCTGGAACGCTGTAGTTTAAAATGCACATCAAGATTGCTAGCATTATGAGGTTTTATATTTTCTTAAAATCATTTATCTTGTCATATAATCACTTAAGATAACTCTTATGGTAGGAGGAAAAAAGAACAATAAATAGACAATATTAGATTAAATGTGAAAGAAGTAATTTTAGTACTGTACATCTCGACTCTTCCTTTAGAGGGTTCCTTTAGGGAAAACAATCAATCAAGCATGCAAAGGCGCAAAGACATTTCTGTTAAGAAAAATCAAGACATTGTTCAGGTACTTGCATCTTTGTTTTCAAGAATTTCCTGCTTGGCTTCAGGTTCAACTTCAACTAGTTCA